GGTATCAGTATGGTGGCAAGTACCACAATTTCTGGGTAATTGCAGCTGGGTGAGATATTCCTTACATCAACATCATACGAAGTTGCATTTACATATTCACCAAGCCATCTTAAAGCAGTATCATCGGCGATTAACTTACTGTTCTTCGCTATTGCCAATTTTATCGCTGGTGCCATATTTCAAGTATGTTCTCCCTGGATGCCTGATTTTACTCCATCAGATTATCCCAATTCTGTTATGTACTATGGTTCCCATTACGATTACTATTACCTCCTTTTGGCTGGTATATGTGTTGTTGGAGCTATCATGTGTTTAGCGCTTATGCCTTACTTCAACCGTGTTGATCGTGAAGCTAAGAAACGCCAAGCAGAAGAAGATGCGGAATTAGCGGTTGCGAAGTCCAAAAGTGACGATGAAGAAGAGAAAACAGATGATGTTAAGGAGGACATTCTCGATGCAACAGATGATGATGAGTCTATCGATAGTGCTACTAGTCAAAGTTGTGGCAGCAGTAGAGGTAAGTATCTTTGTTGCTGAACATTTTCGCTGGTATCCCTGTATAATGCTAATTTTTATTTTCAGATGGACATATGGTGAGTGATGATGCTAAATCAAATGGTCGTGATCATCGTCAATAATTTACTACTCTGACGGACAGTAAATCATGATGATCATGATGATAAAGGAAACCCCTAATCACTTGTTTTAATCCATCTTTTTTGGGTATCACGAATCAGCAAGTTCATCATCTTTTTGAGATGTATTATCATCCTCGCCACTCAACAATTTTAATAGCTCTATTTTCGTGCTCGTTTCACTGTCAAGAATGATAATCTGCATTCTACTATCGACAGCGTCTCCACTTCTACTCTCTACTACTTTAGTGTGGGTTCTCATGTATCCTTCTTCTGTACCCTCGCTCCGCTTCTACTTCTGATCTCAGTTTTACTGTACTGTTCCTGATGATGACGCAACTACTAGTAAATTTCCCTTACCGTTCTGATGGTAATAAAATAGTAGTGTAGCTTGAGCAGTTTTACAGCCAGATCATCACTGGCTGAATGTGATTATAGTCCTATAGATGATGAGCGGTTACTACATTGATACTACTCTATCAGTTGCATCCTTCGTAGTATTCCGTCTTTGCCGTTGAAGAACTATGATAATCCTTATTATTATTGATGAACAGTCATTAGTCATGAGGTTATGCTCGATACTAATGCTGTTGAATAGGATCCGCAAGCAGATGACTCAATAACCTCACGAT